GACTTTTATTTCCCTTTGGCTAGTAACTTGGCTGCTTGTTTTAAATATCTCCTTTATCTCGGTATTTGCTTTTCATTAATACAATTTGTGGCATCGCTGTTTAGATTAAACACAGCCGGGCATGTCGTTCACTTCCTTGAAACCCCTATTCCTAAACCTTGGAGAGAGACAGAATTTATCTAGTGACAAGGGCCTGTGATCAGCCAACCCTCATGGACCTGGCATTTATAAATTAGCTTTGCATTTCTGAGTGTTTGTGGAGCTGCCTTCTTGGGGGAAGCAGTTCTCCAAACAGATCTCTAGGGCTGAGTGGGACTGAGAGCTTCCCCTTCCTATCCATTAGAATGACCGGGGTGGCTGTGGAGTTGGCCAGGAAGTCACTGAAGGATGCTGGTGTGTTCCAGTTGGGAGGGATGTGTGGAAGCTTCCTGTGACCAGGGTTCTGCGTGGAATGGATGGGTAGCAGCATGTCTCAGATAGAAGAAGTCAGGTCAGCTCATGGGGTGGGGGCTGAAAGTTTGGCTTGGCATTTGTTGCAGGGGAGAAGATTATCTCTGCAGCCACTCTGTCAGCTTCAGGCTGAGGGTGTGAGAAGCACTAGAACTAATGGATCTCAACCTGCTAATGTTCCAGGGGAACCATACAATTCGGACTTGGCTCAGGTCACTCAAGCATCCATTTTTCCCAACCTGTTACCCATCCTGGACTCCAGTGAATTAACCCCACGCAGCACCCTGTGGATGGTACACCTCCTCCGTTAACCGGCTGCCACGCATCTGCACCACCATCTCAAATGTATTGCTAAAGTTACAGAACTGGGAGATTCCAAGGCCTTGCAACTATTGTAGGAAACTCGATTAAAGATGGAGTCAGCTGTGCAGACTTTGTCTCTGAGCGATATTGAACCTGCCTAATTGCTGGTGCTGCAGGAACTCAGTACAACGACCAGGCCCTGCCTGAGCAGCTCATTGCAATTCATTTCCATGCTGGAGTCCCAGACCCATTTCCATCCCCCCAGCAATACTCTAGTCCAGGGGTTCTCAGACTTTCGTACTAGTGACCCCTTTCACCTAGCAAGCCACTGAGTGTGACCCCCCCCCTTATCAATTAAAAACACTTTTTTTTAATATATTTAACACTATTATAAATGCTGGAGGCGAAGTGGGGTTTGGGGTGGAGGCTGACAGCTCGCGACCCCCCATGTAATAACCTCACAGCCCCCTGAGGGGTCCCACCCCCCTGGTCTAGTCCAGGTTGAGGAAGGGCAGCTGATTTATAGTGAATTGTGTCATTTTGGCGAAGGTTTTGTTCACCAAGTCTGTATTCTTTTTTCTGAGTGTCTAAGACAACCCCGATGGCAGATGCCTGCAGTTCAGGGTGCTTCTCTTCCAGGCATGTGGAGAGCATTTTTTCCGTGCTCTGTGCTGCCTGAGCTGTATGCCACTGATTCACAAATGCTCATAGAATGTGCTGTTGCTCACCCATTGGAGGGCAGTGACATGGATCTTAAATATCCCTTTTGGCTGTGAAGCATTCATTTCTTGCATGCAACTGCTTCTGAGTCTCACAATGTCTGGATCGCTCCAAATGGAGGGGTCCCCGGGGGGAGGGTCACCGTTTTGGGTGGTGACATCAAAATAGACTTCATACACCACGAACGTGGTAAGCCGCAAACAGCTGTGTAAAACAAATAAAACGGACTATTAATGTGCTGCTTTGTGGCCAGCTGTTCTGAGCTGTAAACTGAGAACTAAGGTCGGGATGGATGAACAGGCGCACACCGACTGCCCTGCAAAGCTCTTGGTATTCCGTCACCAGAGGGGGAGTGTTACTTTTCAGAAGGCATGGATGGGCTGGAATCCTACTCGGCTTGGAATCCAGTGGGCAGACGTGGGTGTAGTGAGACCCAGATCCCCGCCCACTGGTTCACAACTGTTTGTTGTTTTGAGTTTGTAAAAGGCCCTGAGCTCCAGGCAAATCTCATGACCATAAGCCGCGTACGACGGCTTTAAAAGGGTATCGCCGTTTCGCTTACGTGTGGGAAGGGCGGTCAGCCATGCTGAAGATAAAGCCTGGCCAAATAATCCTGACGGATCTAACCACAGGCAAGGGCCACTTGACTTCAAAGCAAAGGAGGCGCCTCTTTCAAGGGCAGGCCCTGAGTTAGGTTCCTAAATCAACACTTCAGCACCCACTTAGGCACCTGGATGGTGCACTGCAGCTTATACACAAGCATGAAAATTTGACTTCATGGCTTAACGAAACGCCTTTGTAGATGCTCTCAGGTTGGGGAAAGCACTTTACCTGTGACCCTGCAGCTCCTGGGGATCTCATGGGAAAATCCCCAGGCATGCTGTGCCAACCAGCAGTTGGTTGGAGAGGCCTGTTAATATGAAAACCCTGAGAGGGAAGGTCCTGGGGCTTTAGTACAACCCAGAAAAGTCCCTGTTTACTTGAAGTGCAGAGCTAACGATTTAGTGAATTCTTGCATGGCACTTGATCAGAAACCAGACACACTCTATAAAGTTATGCAGTGAAGCAAGCACACCCGGGAGCAGCAGGCAAGCACCGCTGCAAAGCAGAGCCGTGTGCTCTGGACCTTCCTGGGAGCAAATACGAAGAAGCATATCAGGAACTTCCTTTTGTTCGGCTTTGGAGTTCTGTTAAATGAAAGGGACCTGGTATCCCCATCTACTTAACCCCGCTATTCCCGTGCTGCAGCAGCTTCTCTTAGACTCGGGTTACCTGAGGTTGTGACAAGGACTTTGAGCATGCCTGATAGGAGCTGCCTGAGCAGGGGGATCAGAAAGATTAGCAGTCGTGGTTACAATTTCATCTACTTGTGATTCTGTGTGGGACCCAAATGCTCACCCCTCTCCCCTCTTATTTCCCCTTGCTTCCAGAATAGGCATTAGTCACAGGGCGCTTATTGTCAGGGTTCCTGCAAAACACGAGGACCTTGGCAACAAAGCTTTCGCTCCCACGCGGAAACTCCTGCTCATCCCAGGGACTCCTTAGCAGGGAACTTGGTCCCTGTGTGCACAGGCAGGCAGAAGAATCTATCCGCAAAATGTTGTTTGTCTGAATGCTTCACTCTTTGGCTCTGTCAGGAGAGTGTCCTCTTTGCAGACTGGGCCGTCAGTGACTTTGCAAGCTGTATTGTGGTAGTCGCTCAGGACTTCTCGAGTTCGGTCGCTTTCCAAAGAATGTTCTCAGTGTCCTTGAGACATTTTTCAGTTCATTCCATTTAAAAAATATTCATCATGTAAAATGTTTCCTAAAATAATGCTGAAAAATCTCTCTGCGAGAGTCACCTGATTCCTCGGAGTGCCGATTTGGTTCCAGTGGACAGGAGAATGGAAAGTGTTTCTCATGGGGCACACAGAAACACTACAGTTGTTTTTATTATGAATCATAGCTTTTCTTTCCATATTTGGCAGTGTTTGACCCTCAGGCAGCTGTCCAGGGTCATTCCTTTCCAATTTAGTTTATTAGGGAAAACAAACGAAAAAGCGAAGTTAATGCCGAGGTTCTGAGATAACGTGCATATCTCTGTTTCTCCAGGAGCACCCCGTGAGGGCCAGGGAAAATGTGCTTCAACAACTAAACCCTGACGACTGACTGGGGGGGGCTCTAGAACTTCCCTCTCCCTCCCCCTGCACTTTCTAAAGTATTTAATAAGAAAAGTTCAAACGTGAAATGTTTCATTCGCTGTAGCACATTTTCTGTAGTCTGCGGGAGATGGGGACTGTGTAATATTCCTGTCTCCATTTGTACCGTTTTGGAATAATCCTGACCAGGACTTTAGCAAGAGCGACCATTGGTCATGTGGACTTACTGGCATTGCGGCATGTTGGCGTCAATCTGTGGGAGACCAAGTGCTCTGATGGGAGGGTGTCAGAACCTGGAAAGGCCATTTTGCTCACTTTTAGAATGTGCTGGAGACCGTGTCAGAGCCTTCAGTGATAACTGTGCCTGAAGCTTATGAGGGCTCCCAATACAGCGACTTGCAGCTTACTGAGAATTGGGCAGGTCTAGAGCAGATTTCTGAGAAAACCACTAGTTCAGGTCAAAGACGGCAACACCTCCAAGCCCCAACTGGGATCAGAGCCCCATTGTGCCAGGCTTGGTCTAAGGCCCTGATCCTACAGCAGGCTCCCCCGGGTGCAGTGCTCCATCCAAGACGGGTAAAGGGTGTGAGGAGGGAAGTTTGATCATCTCCACTTTGTCTGAGGATAATGTCCTTATGGCATGGTCTATCAGTTTTCCAAGGTAAGTTGGTGGAAACTCAGTTGCACAGGGTGTTTTAAAACATAACTGGGCAAAGCCCTCAAGAATCTTCTACAGAGAACCATCCTGGCCCTTCCCAAGGGCTGGAGCAGAGGGGGTCTCTAGATTGCCCCTGAGTGTTGGTCCAATCTCTCTCTTTAATTTTTCAAGAAAAATGTAATGACTAAGGTGAGAGACGAGGACAGCAGGCATTCTTACAGCCCTCAGCCCGAAGGAAATGCAGACGTACACAGCTGATGCTGATGTTTTTCACTTGTTTGTTGTTTGTGTTCTGGTGGGGTTTGTGGGGTGTCTTTTTGCCATGGGAAGCCCTAGCATAAGACCATGAGATCAGCATGTGTATAAATGTAATCTATAGAACGTGATTTTTTTTTTTTAGAAACAATATCCTGTAGGAGACGTGTTCCTTTCGTTGTCATCTAAATAGTTCCATGTGACACCAGCTTCATGGATTTCCCCCCATGTTTGTTGCTCATTTAAAATTGATCTTTCTCCATGAAAGCAGCATTTTGACAGTTTTTTCTCCATTCTGCCCAGGAGCTGGGGGAGAGGAGAAATCTGTAATAGTTCGGTTGGGTCCTGATCCCTTCCCTCCTACTGAAAGCTTCATTTCATCAGCTTGTCCCAATATGCAGGGTTGTAGCCAGTCCCCACTTTGCTTCTGACACTGTAAGTAGCTGCTGATCATTCTTTCTCTGTCTCTCTTGCAGGGTTGAGTTCCAGAATAAGTTCTACATTGGCACTGGATTCAAGTTCCTCCCGTTCTCGTTTGACAACATCCGTGAAGGAAAATTGGACGATTAGAGCCCCCCTCAGCCTGAGCAGTGTTAGACTCGAACCGCTGGTGTGTTGTGCTGTGGTTAGCCCTTGTCCCCTGTGTGTTTGTGTTGTGAAGTTGTGTGTAGCTCCCCTGCCATGATGTGCTGCTTCTGAGAAAATAACTTCTATTGCAGCTGCCCGAAGTATCTGTCTGAGGCTGTTAAGTGGAGAGCTGTGACGTCACTGTAGCAAGCTTAGCTGACATCGCTTCAGAGTCACTGCTTTCCGCCCTGAGCAAACAGCTTGTTTAGTGCTGTACGTGTTTACAGGGGGGGTTGGATAGGAAGTGTCTGGACTTGGTGTATTTAATCATGTATCGATTTATGATATTGTACAGTAATTAGCTCCTTGGCAGAGTCCCGTAAAGCACTGTGGGGAAAATACAGCCTCCTATTGCATTAGGAACAGGACGTGCAAACTTCGGCCTGCCCGTAGCCCAGCTAATCTGAGAGGGAAGCATTTAGAGGGAAGAGTCTGATGTCTTTGCCGCCTCTGTTTAAACAAACTGAGATCCACTGATGCACAGAGGGGTCTTGGGGAAAGCTGGGGCCATGTGCAACCCAGAGCAGTCCCTCTTGCTTCCACATGTGCAGCGTTCTTACTGTGCGTGAGCGATCTGTTCTCGCGGATCGTGAATGGTGCTTTCTTCACACCATACTGCTGGGTGCATCCTAGCTCAGGGAGCCGGGGGCAACAGAGCACACTCCCGTCCCCCGGCTGTTGTCAATTCACTGTAGCCTCCTGCAGTTGCCGTTTCTAGCCTGCAGCATTCCTGCCCGCTGCCTGGGGCTGGGGAAGCTGGGCAAATGGGTTCTGACACGCTTCGCGGAAGGGTCCACTCTCACTTTCCAGCCCTGCCTGTACTCTCAGCCCGGGGAGTCGGGTCTCTTGTTTCCTCAGCAATGTCCCAGTGTTTCTCAAACTCGACACAGGCATGTGCCCACCACGGTCTGCACCTAACTTACCTAAACCAGCACCCATGCTCAACTGTAACCTGGGGAGCCTGCCAGCAAGGACCGGCTTACCCTGGCACAGCCCGACCCTGCAGCCTGCTCGTCTGTGTTGTCATGGGGGCTGCAGTTTGTCTGCCCTGCTGTCTGCGCAAAGAGAACGTACCTGCTTCCCCGTAACTCTCCAAAAGCCCAGGCATGCAAGCCAAACAAACCCAGGGCTGGTGCAGTGGGGCAGGGAGTGTTTTCTGTTTCCTCTCTGGGACTGGGGTCAGTCAGTGCTGTTTGGGCTGCTGGCGAAGTGGAGAACCCGGCAGGGTCCTTGGGCTATTCAGTTCCCTCAAGGGCCGAACGCTGGGCTTCCACAAAATTCCCAGCTCCGGCTGACCTAGAGAGCCAGGCCCTGGATTCAGAGACCTTGTGACTAGATCAGTGCCAGAGTCCTGCTTGAACTGGTGATGGTCTGTGTGGTGTGGGAGGGCCGGGCAGATGTCAGTGATGTCAGTCCATAATGGACCGGAGTGGTGGAAGCAGGACATCCTGGGCATTTGTTTGGTCCCTACTGGAGCTGCAGGCTATAGTCATGAAGGTGTTTCTCTCCCTTCTCTGTCACACATGTACGTGTGCACAGATAACTGCATCTGCTGCCATGGAACCTGTCTCATTTCTTCTGGTCTCAGAGGCTCCATTGCGATTGTCTGTATCTCTCCATCTGCCAACGCTGGCCTATTCTTAGCAATCATGCAACCAAGGAGAGTGAACTCTTGGCATTTTGTTCCGAAAAGTCTGTTGTTCATCAGTGCCGCCCCTCTGGGGCTGGGCTGTATGATGCTGTCGCTGGGACTTGGACACCAAGTGCAGGGGCGGCTGGTAATGTTACCAAACCCACATGAAACTCCACATTCTTCCCCTCCCAGTGGAGTGGAGGGGAGTGGTAGGAGCCGCTCTGCGGGACATGGGCATTGCGTTCCCTGCCGGCTTGGTGGGGCTGAAGGACGGGCTCCGGGCTGCCAGGACGTCAGATGTGCACCTTTGACTATTGCGTAATGAAGTTAGTAAAATCCGATATTCCAGGGACTCTGAGGGTTGGTCATGCTAAGTAACTCCCACACACTTGGACATCCGATCAAGCGTTAGATGGCAGATAATTGCCCCAGAGAACCTCCCAGGCACGGCCGCACTTGTCCTGTCCAAAGTCACCTTGTGAAGGGGGCAAAGGCTGGGACTCATTGCAATGGCCTCTGTGGGAACAGGGTTTAAGGGTCACTCGGAGGGCAGCAGGTGCCTGTTCCCCTTGTGCGGGGTGTGAATAGTCACTTCCCTGTTGGAAATAGCCTCAGGGGTGGTGATGTGTGTTTAAGCCCTCTGTGTTGCACAGCCTGCTGTAACAGATGCACTGTATGGGGGGGTGGGGGCGGGGGTGGGATAGATACTAATGAAACCATGACTGGAATCATTTAGAACTGGCCATCCAATGGGAAAATGCCATGAAATGCAGGATTCACCGAAGTGGTGTGAGAATTAAAAGGATCAACCGGAATGTCTGAGCGAGGCTGGGTGGGGCAGACAGGTCCAGCCGGGTGTTTCTAGCCACAGCCTGTGTAACTATCCCGGTGTGGGAGGCGCACAGGGATTTGCGGTAATTGAGCCGGATTCTGTTTACATGTTGTTTTTACTGTGTGTTTACAATCCTGTTTTGTGCGCAGTGCAAGGTGAAATGAAGTCTGATCTGCAGCCGAAGCCGTAACACTAACTACCCTGCTGGCTTTGTCGTGACTCACCCTACACATTACATTGCTGGAGTTGAGTGTAACCTGAGCTGTCTGCATTTATTCCTTCCAGGGAGTGGCAGGGCCTTCCCGTTCCTCTCAGCCTGGGGCTGCTCTCTGCTAGCCGGGCACTGGGGGCAGAGGGCAGGAGGCACTTGCTGGGCCATGTTAGGGTCACCGAGATGCGGTTGGGTAGCGCTGCCTCCATCCCGCAGTGAGCGATGGAACCCAAGCGGGGGCCGACAGATGCAGCTACTTAATAAAATGGCACTTGTCTACTAGAGCGCCCAATTGGGAATCTAGACCTGAGCTCCCGGAGCAGGTGGTCTGCCGCGGGTCAGGCGCAGAGCAGGGAACAGCCCTGGTCCGTCCTCTTCTAGACCCACCACCTCCGCAGGTACGTGGGGGTCGCTCTGCCCCTCCCCAGCCAGCGCTTTGGGGGCTATTTGGAGTGTCGCTAGGGGAGAGACTAGCCCCTGCCAACAAGCCTTTGGCTGTGGGGGCCGAAAGGTCAACTTTGATATCCTCCTGGGACGTGATTCTGGGGGTTGGTGTTTAACAGGCCTGGGGCTGACTCGAGCTCCAGCTAAGGCTCCCTCCAGGGCCGGCTTTAGGAAGTGCGGGGCCCGATTCGAACAGTTTCGACGGGGCCTCGACAGGGATGACTAAAAAAAAAAAAACCACGTAAAAAAAACCACGTGGGGCTTCTACTCACCGGGCTGCGCTCCTAGTCTTTGGCGGTGGGTCCTTCACTCACTCCGGGTCTTCAGTGGCACTGAAGGACCCGCCGCCAAAGTGCCGCCAAAGACCCGGAGCGAGTGAAGGACCCGCCGCCAAAGTGCCACCAAAGACCCAGAACGCCGCTGGGTGAGTAAAAATTAAAAAGGCGCCTCTAGCCAAGGAAGGGATTCTCTGCCACTTGCCCCCCACTCTGGGTGGCCCTGCCACTGGGCGTGGGGCCCTCTTAGGCGCGGGGCCCGATTCGGGGGAATTGGTGGAATTGGCCTAAAGCCAGCCCTGGCTCCCTCTGTTCTCCTCGAAGGGCAGATGGTCCCAGCCCCGCAAGGGCATCCTTCCCTGGGCCCAACCTCTCACCTGAGCCAAATACCTCCCAGCTGCTCGGGGCTGGATCCCAGCCTGCAAGGGCAGTGTGTTTCCTCCAGGCTTTCCCGAGCCCCTAGCGCAGGCTGGCGGGGAGGCGTTGCGTTCCATGGAGGGGCAGGGCTGAGTTGTGCTGAGCCCTGTGTTTGTGTTTCTGTGGCCAGAGAGCTTTCCAGTAAAAAATGCTGCAGCTTGGGCCAGCCTCTGGCTGGTGTGAGCCCGGAGGGTGCAGCCTGGAGCTCTGGATATGGGGCTGGGGGAAGGGCTTCTCGCTCACCCTGCACCCCGGCCCAGGGCGCAGGCAGGGCCCTCCCCAGGTACTTTCTTCCTGGTAACTCTGACCCCTGCGCTCTGGCCGCGTCCCTCTCCAAGCAGCGTCGGCTCTTCACGCCTCTGGTCAACGTATGCAGGTGGTTTTGTGGCTGTGCCTGGCGCCAGTGCTGTGCCAGTCTCTCCTCTCACCGCTCTGGAGCGATAGGTCTGACTTGGCTGGCAGGGGCCGGTCAGTGCCTGTGCCCCCCTCCACTGCCTGGCTCCTGAGGGGAGCTGGGCTGCGCTTACCTTGCGGAAGGGCGTTCGGTTGCCTGCAGTACGAGCCATTGCTGGCTGTCATCTCATCGCTGGGGGGGACTCCCCTTAAGGCCTGGCAGGGGGAGCCTTGGGAGCAAAAAACCACCCAGCTGGCTGCTTCTCTAACAGTGACCACCCTGCCCCGGGCACCAGAAACCGGGCCTGGAGAGAGAGTCCTGCTGCCAACAGCTGCCTCCTTCCCCTTTCGCTGCCCGTGCTGCCGCCATGGCTTCCCAAGCCAGCATCCACCTCCCGTGCCCTGCTGCTGGGGGTGCTGTAGCCGCAGCTGGCGCCAGGGCAGTGCGCTGACAGTGCTGAGTGCTGGCTAGAGCCAAGGAATGTCTGTGCCCCCAGCCAGCCTCTTCGGGAAGCCCGAGGGAAGCCTCCAGCCAGGGCTGTGCCTGGAACGGGTCAGTCTGTCCAGAGTGCGCCCCGGGCTATTGCAGCCAGATGCGCCCCATCGGTCCCACGGGGCAGCCCTGACCTCCCCCCAGGCTTGCTGTTTCTTGGGTTTCCTTCTCTCTGGGCCTGGGGGCTCAGGAAACTGCTGTCCAGACACACACACACTCTCTCTCTCTTCTCCCTTCCCCCCCCCCCACCGGTCTCTCCTGGCCACCCCCACCTGCTGTCCAGCCGGTCTCTCCTGGGCACCCATCACCCCCACCCTGTCCAGCGAGGGAGTTGGCAGGGGCAAAAGCAGCTCTCCGGGGACTCACTTCCCCTCGGCTAACGAGCCCTGTCTGCATCCGCCGCCTCGCCCTCCTGGGGCTGAGGGTAGTTGGTGCTTGCTGGCCCCAGGGGACTGGGGTTTTCACCCATCTCCTTGGGTCTCCGGTCAGTGCTCGGCTCCCCAGGGAAGGATCCCGCTGAATTTTACTCTGTTCCTGCTGTTTTCTGCTCTTAGAGCAAATGGGGAGCCCTGCCCCCCCACCAGTGCTGTCTGAGGGGCACCAGCTCTCTTGACAGCTGATTGCTGGCTGCAGCCGGAACAGCACAGCTGTGAGCCCCCAGATTAACCCGTACCCTGGGGCGTGCCCCCCTCTGTCTTTAACAGTCACCCCGCCTTCCTCGGGCCGTGTTCTCAGCACTGCAGGCCCCACGCAGCCAGAGTCTGAGCTCCCCGCAGGGCCATCAATCGTACTGGGGGGGCCGCGTCCCCCTCCAACAAACCCAGCTGCTGCGGGCCCTTCCCCCCACGCCAACTGGGCCGTCCCCCCAGCTGCGGTCGGTAGAACAGCCTGCGACGGCCGGGCCTGAGCGCGCGGGTGGGTCTAGGCCTGGCCCTTGGCAGCGCCTTCCCCTTTCTGGGCTGGGTGAGACCCCAGCATCCGCCAGGCCAGCCCTCAGGCCTGCACAGCTGGAGAACCGCGACCCGCTGCCCTGGGGTGTGCATGGGGGGCAGGGCTAGCCTGGCCCCCATAAGGGGGGGTTCTCTGGCTCCCCCCCCATTCTGAGAATGCTGCCTGTTGCATTAGCCTCGTGGTAGCAAGGGGCCGCTCTGCTCCAGGCAGGCCCCCGGGTAATGGGGCTGGGTGAGTGGCCCCGTAAGCCCCTTCCTGGGGGCCAGGAGCTGTGGGCGAAAGCAGCGTCGCTCTGTCCTCAGGCCTCCCCTTCTCGTGTTCCTCCCACTGCGGGCACCGGCCAGGGCCCGGGAGCATGAGGAATGCCCTGGCCTGGAGCCCAGCGTTTGGAAATAGGAGCCCGGGGGCTGAGACAAGAGCAGGACAGTCTGTATCTCCTCACTGGGCTCACCGCCCCTGGCAGGACACGCTGCACCCGGGCCCCGCCCCACCCCGGAGCACAGCGCCACTCGCCCACTGGCATCTCACCCAGCCCTGCTCCCCGCTCCTCTCAACGGGCAACAGCCCCCACTAACGCTGGGGAGGGGGGTGCACGCCCCACCCTGCCCTCAGTACCACAGGGGACAGGAGCCCCACAGGGCTGCAGGGGGGTTTCCTGTGTCTCAACCACTGCCCTGCCATTTCATGGGGTTGGGCAGAGCGGGGGAAGCCCTGACCCCTATTCTCCACCTGCGCCCAGGGGCCCATTTCTAAGAGCTGCTAAAGGCAGAGCTGAAGGGAGGCCCCTGGGGCTGGCAGATCAATCCACCTTTCCTCGCCCCTTGGCGGGCTGGGCACAGCTGGGGCTGGGGGCGGGGGGGGGCCTGCACACTGCGAGGGGAAGGGACAAGACCTGGGGCAGCCTTGTGCAGCGCCTCCGAGCCCATGTGGAATAACCAGTGACAGGCCGGGACCCCACCTCGCAGCCTGCGCTCTGGGCAGGGGAAGGGGGAGGCAGGCGGGTGGCACAGATCCAAGGAGGCTGTGTCACGGAGTGTGGGGGGACACAAGGCCCTGCACCCCCGGCTTCCTGCGATTCACTATGACTCTCAGCCAGCCAGTACAGGAAACACGACCCAAGACAGGTCTTGCAGGCACAGACAACAGGACCCCCCTCAGTTTGGTCCATCTTGGGGTCCCAGGGCCCCACAGCCCCCTTTGGAGGTCAGAGCCTCCCAGCCATGTCACCGGCCCGCTCTGAACTCTCTCTCCAGCCTTTGTTCAGTTTCCTGGGCAAAGGTGTCACCTGGCCTCCGACCCCTTCCTGGGTTCGCATGTTACATGCTCAGGTATTCTCCATCGGTCGTCTCCCAAACCATAATGCAGACTATCCTAGCCACACTCCCCTGTCAGCATTCAAAGACCCCAGTAAGAACAGTCCCAGTTCGTCACAGGCTGTAACTGCAGGGGCAGTTTGGGGGCTTCGCTCACCATCCCCCGAGAGTGCCCCACACGTTAGCTTACCCAGCCCACCCCATGGCACCCGGCTGCCCTGCCCGTGCACCTACAGCCCCGAGCGGGGCCCCGGCTCCAGCCCTGACCTCTTTGCAGGGAGACAGGAGGGAGCCCGGCCTTTCCTCTGGGCCGAGGCGTGGCCACAGCCCTGGCACCCTCCCTGGAATACCGGCCGCCCGGAGAGCTGGGTGCCAGCTCCTGCCTGGGGCCCGCCATTCCCCTGCTCTGGGGGCGGGGTGGGCTGGGTGCCAGGGGATGGACGGGCGAGGTGGGGGCCGGGCTCCTGTGCACCGGCTCTGCCCTTGGGGCGATGCTGCCCCTGCAGGTTCCCATGAAAATGCCCAGCGCAGAGTCAGCCGGAAAATGGGCAGAGGAGGGGGGAGCTGCCTGGGCCCCATCGCAGCCTGGAGCTGCAGTGCCCTCTGCTGACCAGCACTGCTCCGGGCCAGACTCCATCCCCGGCTGCAGCCCCTCGTCCTCGGCTGGGGCCAGGGGCCGCGGCCGCCTTGGCAGCAGGACGGAGCTAGGCCAGGCCCGAGGGTGAGGGGCTCTTGGCCTGGCACGTAGGGATCAGGCCCGTGCACGCTGCCGAGCGCTCGCTAGGTGGCAGGAGTGGTGCAGCCTCTTAACAGGGCCTAGCCCTGGCGCCCCTGCCCGCCCTGGGGCTGGGCTGGGCAAAGGGGCCTGGGGCGCAGAGCTGCCCCACACCCAGTGGGGCCAGCTCCCTGGGCGGGAGGCGGGGGCAGGGGGAGCTGCCCTGAGGGGCTCACAGCCCAGCCAAGCACGGGGGGCAGATCACAGCGGAAGCACAAAGGCTGCAGGGCAGGAATGGGGTGAAAACGGCCCCCGGGAGCGCTGGGCGGCCGGGACCCAGGCCCAGTGCAGACAGCGCTGGGCAAAGCCTGGGGGCGCAGCCTGGCCGGGCTTGCTGAGCACGGGGGGGCGGGGAGGAGATGGGACAGTGAAGCTCCAGGAGGCAGGCTCCCTGGAGCAGGGGAGTCCTCGCTCGCTTGGATTTTTAAATCTCGGGGGGCTGGAGGGCCTCATGCTGCCTGCCCCCTTTGAGCATCGGCCTCCCTCCTGGCAGAGCGAGCAGCATCCAATCAGCTGGTGGCCCCCATGGGGCGGGGGCAGGGCTCCCACAGGCAGGCACTGCCTGGGGGCAGCTGCAATGCTGGGGGGCCATTGGTGCCATGTGGAGCCCCCCAGAGCAGGTCAGAGCTGCTGTGCTCGGCCGCAGCCCCCCTAGGAAGCGCTGCGGGGGCGCTGGCCAGTCACCAAGGGCATGTGGCCATGAGAGCATTGTGGGCACTGGCCCCGGGCAGGCTGCCTGGCGTGTTGGGGGCACATTGGGTGCCTGGGCTGCATGGCCCTGGCATGGGGTGGGTACATGGAGACGGGCTGCCCAGCAGGCACTGGGTGCTAGCGGGACTTGCCGACCGGGGCTGTGCAGGGCTTCAGGAAATTGGAGCCACTTAGCGCCTCACTGCAGCTTCTGTGGGAGCAGAGACTGATGAAGCTGCTCGGTGCAAGCCCACCGACCTGGCGGGAGGGAGCCCAGGAGCTGGAGGAAAGAGCCAGCCCCGGGGAGGATGGGGAGGTGGGTGCCCGGCTTTGCTCCTTCGGCCCTAGGTCCCAGCTCCTGCAGCCACCAGCAGGGGTCAGGCCATGTCCCACCAGTGCCAGCTCCGCAGGCTGAGATGGGGGCGCCCCTTGTGCTGCCATGTGCATGTTCTGAGGGACACCCGGCATTTCCTGGGTGCATCCCTGGGGAAGGGGGTGAACCGTTGCCCGCCTGGCAGAGCAGCAAACCCTGCTGAGCTCCCCTGCGCCCGGCAGCACTGTACTGGCCAGGTGTGAGCGCGAGGCAGCCAAGGCGCTGGGCTGTCATGGCCCGGGCAGGGAGCCGGGTGCTCGGCGCGCCAGGCTCGGAGCTGCGTGGCTCAGCCTCCTCCCCCCCATGGGCACTGGGGGCTAAGAGTCACTTGCCGCCTGCTCTGCCATCGCTCCGGGGAGCTCGTCACAGCTGGGAACGCAGCACCTGCCCTACGTACCGCGACTTCGCCTGGCGGGGCTGAGCCCACCCGGGCTGGCCAGAACTGCAGTGCCAATGGGGCCGGGGAGCCCCTGCGACCTGCTCCCTTCAAAGCCAGCGACTGTGAGGCCACTGGGGCCTGGGACACCTGCTCCTCTCAGCCCCCCCCCCCCCCCCCCGCCCACCCCAACGGCTCGCAGGGAGCCCAGGCTCCTGTCTGGCGGGGAGAGGCAGGCAGTGGGCCCTGCTGGGGTGTCCCCGGGCAGCCTCCCTTAGCCATTGCTGGCTGGAGCACAGCCCCTGGGCATGAAAGCTAGGCTCTGTGCCTGTCTGGGTGAGCGTGTGGGGCCCATGTGGGGCACGAACCCCCTGGGGGAGGAGCCAACATTTTTATAGATAGAAACTTTAATCCTTTATTTAAAAAAAAACAAAGCAACAACGTGGCAAGCGGCAGCACCCCGTTCCCTCCTGGGGCTAGCCCTGCAGGGCAGCCACAACGCCCAGCGCCGGACGTGGCTGCAGCTTGGAGCACCGGCTGCTGCCCCATCTGCTGGGCCAGGCACCCGCTGGCAGGAGCTCCCGGCTTGGGGCTCCCCCTCGAGTCCCTGCCTGGTGGCCTGATGCCACGGTGTGAACACAGGCAGCACGGGGACTGCTCCCGTTGACCCTGCAATCGGCACCTGGACCCTCAGCGAAATCGGGTGGCACTGTCAGCTCCTGGTGCCAGCCACCCCTTGCCCTCCCCAGGGCTCTCCCGGTGCCCAGTACGTTGGCACAGAACAGCGCGTCAGTGCAGCCCAGCCCTCCACCTCCCCCGGCCCAAATGGGCCAGTAACTAACTTGCTAATTAAGAAACCAGAGGCAAAGCTTGGGTAAGCTGCCCGGGGGCGGCAGGGCCAGGCAGTGGGCCCTTCCATGCCCCACAACAGGGCGGGGGGCCATCCTTGTGCCACAGGGCCAGCCCCCAAATGGAGCTTCCCGGGTTCAGAGCTGAAGCAGCCTCTGCCCCGCTGGGCCCTGTGCTCCCGCTGGCAGCTGCTGCAGATTTTGGTTTGAATGTGGGGCTGTGGGGCGACCCCCAGGGCTTTTCCATGGTGTTTGTCTCCTGTAGAGGTCACAGGGGCTCGGTCTCTTCCTGCAGCCGCTGCCTCGTCCAGCTGTGTGGGGCAGCGATCCTGCTGGTAACGGGTGCTCCTGTCCCCCATCACTGACACTGGGGGGCTCCCCTCCCCCCCAGTGACCCACCCTGTCCCGTCTGGCAGGCTCCGTCCTCCCCTGCAGCGCTATGTACACAGGAGCCGTGGCTGCGGGGCAGAGCGGCCCAGGCGCCCGTCTGGCTCCCCCAGGACCGAGGCAAAGCTGCTCCTGCTCCCAGGGAGCCTCCTACCCTCCAGGGGCCCGTCCCTCTCGCGTCCAGGGGCCCCGACTCCGGGGCAGGCTCGGAAATGCGCCTGGCAGGCCTGTGGCGAGTCCGGCGCACTGCTCTCCAAGGCAGCAGGCAAAGGGGATGCGAGCGGTCGGCTCAGAACACCAGCTCCTGGGCGATCTCCTGCAGGGCTGGGAACGGCTTCCGCGCCCCAGCCAGCTCCGTCTCCCGCAGCTCCAAGCCCCCCAGCTGGCGGCAGGGGCAGGGCATCGTGTAAGAGGCCACGAGCACCAGCTCCTCGTCCTCCTCGGGGCCACTGCCGCCCTCACTCGCCGGGGCCTGCTCCGGCTCAGCCCGCACTGGGGACGCCAGCGCCGGGGCCGGGGCTGGGGCCAGCCAGGGGTGCTGCAGGCACTGCTCGGCCTTGGCCCGCTTCCTGCAGGCAGGAGGGACGGGATTAGTGCTCTCAGCCCAGGAGTCCTCGGCCCTACCCCTGCGACTGCCCCCCTCCCGCATGGCCGCCCCCGAGAGTCCAGCCTTCCTCCCGCCCCGTGCTCGCATCAGGGCGACACCCCGGCAGCCAGCGAAGCTGCGACGCGTGCGAGGCCAGCTCCAGGGCCGATCTCCCCAGGCGCAGGGAGCGCGTGCTTGGCGGGAGGCTCTGGCCCGGGTGCCACGTGCCCCTGAGGCTGGCGTGACAAGGCCAGGGGGCAGCGGCGGGTACCTGGGGTTCTTGACGAGCAGGGAGCGGATGAAGTCAATGGCCTGGTCCGAGATGCCCTGGAAGACGTCGGGCGGGAACTGCACGTTCACCTGCGAGATGTTCAGGAAGGTCTCCTGCTTGGTGTCGCCCAGGAACGGCGACTCGCCCGTCAGCATGACGTAGGTCAGCACCCCGACGCTCCTGGGGAGAGCCCCTGGGGTCAGAGCCAGCGGGGAGCCCAGTGGGCCAGGGCCTGGCTCCCATCGGCGCTAGCCGCCTGCTCTGTGGGTGACGGGAGGAGGAGCAGCCCCCACGGCCAAGGTCAAACCCATGAGACTCCCGGCCCCTCCCCAGGCTGAGCCCGGCCCCTGTGTCCAGGGAGGCCCGAGGACCCCCCCTTCGCCCCCGCTCCTCTCCCGGACGCTGGCAGGTTCACAGCCGTGGGCTGAGACTTCTTCCCAGAGCTGGGGAGGGCCTGGGGGGGCTGATGGGGGGCATGGAGGGGACGTACCCCCCCTCAGCGGGTCACAACTGCAGTACTGGTCATGCCACAAGCGGGCACTGCACCCACACTGTGGGCTCCCCGGCCTCTCCTCCAGCTGGGTGAGGGGCCGAGGACGCTGGGGGCAGGGCAGAGCGGTTTCTGGGGGGAGTGTATCGGCAGGGGCAGGGGAGATTCGCCCTGGCTCCCAGGGTGCCCCGTGCCAGGACAAGCAGGAACTCAGCCCCGCGGATGATGCACTGCGAGCAAACGCTGCAGCTACCTGGTGACCTGCGGTGGGGAAACACCCCCCCCCCCGCCTCTTTGCACCAGCCTCCCGTGTGCCGTTACCCTGCCCCCACCCCACAGGCGAAAGGACAGACCCCCCGACGCGTGCCCCTAGGAAAGGACAGAGGGACCCCAGAGACCTACCACATGTCGGTGGCCGTGCTGATGGGCTCGTAGCTCAGGACCTCGGGAGCTGCAAAGGGAAACGTAGGGGAGTTATGGGCCCTGCCGCTGGTGCCAGGCTGTGCCAGCGACTCCGCCCCCGGGCGAGGAGGGCGCCCAGGCCGGCAGCGGGAGTGGGGGGCGCTGGAGGGGGCAGCACTGCGCAGCGAGCTCAGCACAGGGCTGAACGGGCTCGGGGGGGTGGCGAGACCCATGCCCAGTCCCCGTCTCTGCTGGAGCGAGGTGCCAGGGCCCTTGGGCACATGGCTCAGAACCCAGGCGCTCGGGGCAGATTCACCCCTGTGGATTCACGACCAATGTCTGCAGCCCAACAAGGATGTGTCGTCCCGTCCCCCCCCCCCCCCCCCCCCCCCCCTCCCCCGTCTCTGCTGCCCCCCGCCGTGCCACTTACCCACGTACTCCGGCGTGCCCAGAATCTCGCGCACCTCCCGCATGGCGTCCACCCGGCGCGACAGCCCGAAGTCCACGATGCGGATGTCGCCCAGGGGGCTGCTGCTGGTCAGGAGGATGTTCTGGGGCTGCAGGGCAGGGGCAGGGTGTGAGCCGAGAGGGCCGGGACCCTGGTGCCGGGACAAGGCAGGGCTGGCACTCCGCTCCCCCTGCAGGGACAGGGGGTGGGAGGGACCCCACCACCACCACCACCACCGCGGGGATGAGGGGGGGTTCCAGGAGCCCTGGGGGAACCAGTCCTTTTCAAGCTTGTGTCCACCCATCCCGCCTCCCAAGAGACTCTGCTCCCAGCGGGGGAAGGCCCCCAGTAACCGCCCGGCCCCACCGGTACCTTCAGGTCCAGGTGGACGACGTTGTGCTGGTGCAGGTAGGCGACGCCGCGCAGGATCTGCCGCACCAGCCGGATCACGTCCTGCTCGGTGAAGGCCTCATCCTGCTCCGCCACGCACTGCTGGAAGATCTCCCCGCCGGCCGCGCTGAAGGGGGGGGTGGCAGGTGACGGGGGGGACGGAGCCTTGCTGGCAAATGCCTCCCCCAGCCACCAGCACCTGCACATGCTAACAATCCCCCGCCCCCAGCACATGCTAACAACCTCCCTCCCCAGCACACACTAACCCCCAGCACATGCTAACCCCCCAGCACCAGCACACGCTAACCCCCCCTTTCCCCAGTGCAGGCATAGCTCTGCCACCTGATTCCCAGCCTCCCCCTCCACCCCGGTGCTAATCCCTAGACCCCGCTCCCCTCCAGCGCCGGGAATCGAACCCAGGCGTCCTGACTGTCTGCTCGTTTCACAAATGGCCGGCGGGCGGGGACTCCTCGGGGAAGGGCTCCACCCTCAGTCCCTGCGTCAGCACAGCCACCCTGGGGCCCCATACCCCGGCCTCCCCCTGCCGGGATCCCAGGAGACAGCTCTTGGCAGGTCACTCTCCTGGCCCAGAACAGCGGTGCCAGCACCCAACCTGTTCCTCGCTGGTTATGTAACCGCAGCCCCAGCGCCTAGAGGGCAGGGCCGTGCACCCAGCCCGACAAGGCGCTGCCTGTCCCAGCCCCGGCTCCAGGCCCAGCCCTGGCAGGGGGCGCAGGGCGCACGGCACCAGCCCGTGGAGCTGCTCACGCCCATGGGGCTGACCCTGAGGTGCCCCCAAGCAGCCAGGATGCTGCATGTCCCTGGGCATCAGCCGGGCTTGGTTCCAGGCCAGGGGTGTCTGCGCGGCTCTGCGCCCTCCGGCCTCTGCCAGCGATTAACCAGGAGCCGCAGGGGCCATTTCCATGCCAACAGGCCCGTAGGGCTGTTCCCAGCCTCCTGGCAAGGGGTCCCAGGGCCAGGCGTGGCCAGGCCGGGAGGAGCCAGGCGCTGGCCTGCAGGAGCTGGGAGAGCCAGAAACCTCTCTAGGGAGCCTGCACCCACGGGACCAGCGAGGGTGGGAAGGGTCGGATACAGCTTCAGAGCAGGCCCGAACCCAGGTGCCCCAGCGGGATGGGGGGTCTTTGCCCATTCCCGGCCCTGCCACCCCAGGAGCCTCTTCCCAGACTTCCCCTTTGGAGACCACAATGTGCAGGCTGGCTGGCCCTTTAAAGGGGGCTGGGCTTGCTGTTAGCCCCAGCTGGCCGGGATCAGAGGGGTGATGGCCCTGGAGTTTGAGTAGAGGAACCACAGAGAACAGCTGGGCTGGGCACGGCCCGAGGGAGGGGCTGCAGCAGGCTGTCGGGGGCTCCGGGAAGGTGCCTGGGACGCAGGGCTCTATTCTGGAGACGGCGAGGTAATGCTGAGGGGACTGGCCGAAGGGAGCCCAAGTGGGGTGAATGCAGCCTTGGTTTTGTTTGGAGATTTGTTACCCTGGAAGGGGACTGAATTGTGAATGAGGCAGCTGGAGGAGTGAGCCCGAGAGACAGGGAGTGTCTGCAGTGCCACGCTCAGCCACGCCCTGTGGCACCCGCCTGAAGCCGGGAAGGCAGGGGGCAGATTGTGGATTCCTGGGCTGCAGGGGGCTGGCTCCCTAGTGCCCTGGCTTTGTGCGCTCGGTTGCACCTGAGCAGAGCAACGTGGTAGCAGCTGGCACAGGCAGGGAGGGTGGGTTCTGCGACTGCAGGAACTGGGGCCAATTCCCAGTGTGGGCCAGGCCACGGAGGGGTCACTCCAGGCTGAGCTGCTCCCCAAATCTGGGGGGACTCGCTAGGTGACATCAGAGGCAGCAAGGCCCAGTGGTGAGGGCCCTGGCCTGGGTGTCTGAACACCTGGGTTCTACTCCTGACTTGCTGTGGGACCTTGGGCCTGTCCCTTCCCCTCTGGTCCTCTCCCACCCTTGTCTTGTCTATTCAGCTTGTAAACTGTGGGGCAGGGACTGCGCTAGGCGCTGTACATGCGCACCGTGGGGCCCTGATCTCGGCTGGGGCTCGTCAGCCCCGCTGTAGGAGCGGAGGGAGCGTGCTGACGGGCAGGTTTGCATTGCTCACCTCATGCTGTGGTTACAGCGAGAGCAGATCACAGCCCCGTTCTGGGAGCAAAAAACGCGCGCACGAAACCACCAGCTGCTTCTGGGAACTCGATGCTGAGCTAGCGTCGTGTTTCAGAGACCGCCACCTACGCACCTTTCCCCGTGGCCACCCAGCGCGCTGGCTGGGGAGCAGAATCCATCTGCCTTTCCAAGGGACCCAAGACCCAGCGAGGCGCTTTCAGAAAAAACCCAGAGCGGCTGCGAGCTTCTGTTTCCGCCCACGTGCCCAGCGGGGAGGGGTGCGTTTGCCAGGAAGGCCCAGGTCTCACGGGGTCCCCTAGCTGCCTGGTCAGGTGCCTGCTGCTAGCCCCACATCAAGAGCTGTGTCATTAGCTGGGGTTTATACTGGCACAAGGGGCCCAGGGTAGCATCCACGCCCAACGTGCTCGTTCCCCAGATGCCCAGCCTGCCTCACGTGCCCATGGCCCCGTGCCGGCAACAGCCAGCGCCAGCCCAGCCCCTCCCGCTTGTCCCAGGGTCAGCGAGGGGGGATTCAGGTCCCAGCACCTCTGGGTCACCAGTTCCGACCCGGCCTGAGTGAGGAACACGCCCAGGCCTCAGTCCGTCCAGTCCCTACAGCAACATGAAGGCCGAGCTCCCCTTCCTCCCTGGGGGGTGCTCCCCAGGCAGGCTGGGCTGGCGCCCCTCCACACACCGCCCCACCCCACCAGCCTTTGGAGGGCAGAGAGTGGGACCGTCCAGAGGCCGTGGCAGTAGCAAGGGCTCCTTTCCCACTGCAGTGGGGAGCCGGGCTCATAGAACCAGCCCTCCCCTGCCAACAGCACAGGGTCCCCCTTGCTCCGTTCCACCCCATGGTCAGCCCCACGGTCCCCTCAGCCCTGCGGTGTGTGCAGGGAGGTTCCTGTAGCGTCACTTCTCTCTCCTGCCGCTGCCGTCCCTACATCACCTGAGTCTCTTTCCTGGTAAATGAGCCTGGCCTGGTTCGTGCAAAGGCCCCAGACAGGAAGCCGTGCTCTCTGGGGACCCAGCTGGGGCCCTGTGGTGGAGCCGTGTGGGCAGGATGCGGCCCCGAGATCAGCAGCTGCCCGGAAAGGGAGCTGAGAAACGGGGCTGAGGCTGTTTCTCAGACACGCTCTGGTTAAGTCACTTCCTGCTGCACTCAGCCCCGGCCATGCAGCCAGCCGAGGCAGCAGGTTTCAAGTGCAGGCGCCGGGCAGGGCAGGGAGCTGGTGCCCTGACGCAGGTACCCCCGTCCGCGCTCTATGGACAGGCTGTTCTAGGGCCCTGGAAAGCACGTTCTAGGCCACAGGAGGCTGCAGGGCCCTGATCAGAAACGCCCCCCTGCAGCCCCAAGGAGAATCACAGAATCTCAGGGTTGGAAGGGACCTCAGGAGGTATCTAGTCCAACCCCCTGCTCAACACAGGACCAACCCCACCTAAATCATCCCAGCCTGGGCTTTGTCAAGCCTGACCTTAAAAACCTCTAAGGAAGGAGATTCCACCACCTCCCTAGGGAACCCAGTCCAGTGCTTCACCACCCTCCTAGTGAAAAAGTGTTTCCTAATATCCAACCTAAACCTCCCCCACTGCAACTTGAGACCGTGCCCTGCTCTGTAGAGGGTCCTGCCCCTGCCAACCCCACTGGCAGAACCGGGGAACGGGCCCAGCCCGCAGCCTTCACACCGCAGAGCAAGGGGCGTGTATGGAAGGGCTGGGGCCGAGACCAGCCAAGGGGTGAGGCAGTGTGGGGCCGAGGAGCGAGGGGGCCCCGTCTGCCCGGCACTCACCACTCCAGCACCAGCACGATCTCGGCGGGCGTCTCGTAGACCTCGTGCAGATCCACCACGTGGGGGCTGCGGGCGGCCAGCTCTAGCACGGCGATCTCGTTGATGATGTCGAGCCGGCAGTCCTCGCCCTTGCGCCGCTTCCGCAGGAACTTGGCTGCGAACTCCCGGCCCGTGGCCTTCTCCAGGCACTTCTTCACCACCGCGAACTTGCCCCTGCGGAGAGGAGCCATCAGGGAACTGAGCCGGGGCTGGCCCCGGCCCCTCCATCACACCCCCACCCCACGCAGCACGGCCCCCCTGCCCGCCCTCCCTCCCTTCCCCTCTCTTCGCAGCCAGCCCCAGGGGCCCAGCCCCCCATGAACCCCTGAGCTGTGAGAGTCACAAGGTGCAGCTTCCGCGACTCAAGGACCGGGTCCCCCCGGCCCTGGGCCCAACCCCCCCAGGCTGTAGTGCCCACACTCCTCTGCCCCACGGGGGTACGCCCCCCAGCCCAGCCTGTGACTGACCAGCTCCTCGCAGGAAGCGGGGAGGGCAGAGATGAAGGAGCAACCAGGCTGAGGGTGCTGGCCCAGAAGGGTTAAGCTGCACTCGGGAGGCACTTCAGCCTCCCCTGCCACGGCCTGCACCTGCCGGCGTTGCCAGGCCCAGGGCTGGCGCTGACAGGGAGGCCCGGCAGTGGGGAGCGTAGGGGGGCCTGGGTCAGAGGGAGGGCGGAGATGGCTCTACTCAGGGCACCAGCCATGCTGCTGGGAAGGGGGTGCACAGGCCTCCTCAGTGTCATGCACCCCGACTGCCAACCCAGCCCCCAGCACTGCGGAGACCGGACAGCTCCCCCGTGCCCCCTGAGCAGGGGTAAGGGCCGGTACCCCCGTTATCCACAGCACGTTCAGGAACAGGCCTCCTGCTCCCTGCCCTGTCCCCAGTCCCCCTGCCAGGCGAGTGCCCTGCAGATCTGCACCCGGGGCAGGGAGTCACCAAGCAGGGGCAGGGGCAGCTCCCACCCGCGGGGCAGGGAGGAGCCAGGATCCTAGGATCTCGCCGTGTAAACAGAGACGTTCCCTGCTGCCGTTTCCAGGAACCCTTCGCCTAATGGGAACCATGTGGCCCGGGCACCAGGCTCAGCTCCTGAGCAAGCGGCAGCTGGGGGCACCCCAGAACCCCAGCACACAGCGCCGCAACCACAGCCCCGAGGGGAGCGGGCACAGGCCCATTTGCGCTGCGCCTGCCAAGCCCCTGGAGAGCCTGGGGCAGCAGCCAGCAGGAGCTCGGAGATGTGCCACCGCTTCCCCCACAGGCTGCTTTGTGCCACACATGTGGGTCCCGACCAACACACATGGCTCCAGCCGCATCCAGACAGCAGCCGCCCCTCTTGCGAGCCAGAGCCCCCGGGAGCCCAGGATCGCAGCCACCTCCACCTCTCCCCGACCCCCCAGCTCTGGCTCCAGCCACCCCAAAAGCCCAGGCAGAACCCGACGGCTTCCAGGCAAAGCCCCAGCCCAGCCACCCCTTGGCTGCAAGAGAGAGACGGGGCTTTACCCCCTCCTGGCACAGAGCAGCCCCCAGCGTGCAGCCCTTCACCCCTGCCAGCCTGCCCCACGCTGGGCCGTGCCGGGCCGTGCATCAGCCAGCGCCCAGCCTGAGCTTTCAGCACACCCTGTCTCCCGCCCTGGTCTCGCATCGTTGGCCCCGAAGAAAAGCTGGACGAAGCCAGAGCAAATTGCTCCCAATTAGCAGGAGCCACCCAGGGAACTAGGCCTTGTCCCGCCCCACCGGGGCGTCAATCAGCGTCACAGGCCAGGCCACCGAGCCAGTCCCGACCTGTCACACGCAGTCTCTGGGCCCTGTCCCAGCAAGGCCCTTTTAGGGAGTTGGCCCAGCAGCCAGGCAGCCCATCCCCTGCCTACGGGCTCCAGAGACAAGGGGCCTGGGTGAGGCTAGCGAGAGATGACAGGCCCCTCGCCCGGCGGCTCCCGTTTGCACCATTGGATAGAACTGGAGACCTGGCTCCCCACGAGCCAGTCCTAGCCCAGCCCCAAGCCGCTCGGCTGTTCTCAGGGCGACCTCTGGCGACAGCCGCTTGGCCCCAGAAAGTTTGGAAATGGCCCCGACTCAGAACTTCGTGCCCAAAACCGAGAGATTCCAACAGCTTCTGGGTGGCTGCTTGTAAACAGCCAGGAAGGGAATTTGCAAAACTGAGAGATGATGA